GTTTCACAATAGACGTTTATACACCATTCGATAGAGAATTTCAAGAGCTACATTTTGCACTATTTGTATTTCAAGATAGATAAAATCGACTTTTTGGCCTAATGTCCGCTTAGTTGCCCACTGTGCACTATGGACTAGGCATACACAGGAACCGGTCATAATAAATAAACGGTCCGTTATGAAATAAAGGACACACTGTAATGATTTATATACAGTACAGTCAAGATCCTGTAATATGACTGGAAAACTAACTGGTATTTCAAGTATTATTTTCTGTATGTGACGGCAAAAACCACGTAGTAATATAATGCGGTTGTATCAGGAGCGGCAACTTTCATTCTTTTTTGTTAATTCAAAAAGACTTGAGCTAAACTAAACGTCGTACTATCTATTTATTGTCTTATATATTTTTAGTTATGTTAAATGAATATGCAGTAGCTACTTTATTTTTTTATATCATTATTTTGTTTGATGCTTCTATTACGTAGCGAAAATACTCATAGTATGAGTACGACGTATGAGTAGGGTTATCAGCTGACTAACACCACCGAAATATACTCCATTTTGTTTATTTTCAGTTGTTTTTGGTTTCTTACGCTATATGTAAAACGACTGTGAATTCCTTGTTGGAATGTTTTATCGGAATGGGTACTGGCACTCCCATGCAAAAACTTTTCTGGATGTGTCAACAAGGATGTCATTCTGATTATATATTCGCATTTTTTTGACGGGTATCTCGCTCATCGGAGAGGGAGGAGGGCAAGTGAATAGTGAGAGTGAGTGAAAAAGCTAAAAGCTTAATACATGAAAATTGATATAAGGAAAACTGATAATAAGAGAAAAATTTTCAGTATGCAATGTGGGATGGATCAGTCAATCCAACCATAACTGCAGCAATCAGGTGAGTTCGAAGAATTTTAACAGTACGGTTAACTGTATAAGAGATCTCCGCAGGCTGGGTTGTTTAAATATCGGATGATCTTCTTATTGACCCCAGTAAGGGGTGTAAATACCAATTTTAATCCGTGAGACTTTTAGCTTTTTCACTTATTCTCACTATCCACCTGTACTCTTACCTCTCCGATGAGCAAGATGCTCGTGACGACGTCAATATACAATCTGAATTGTGCGAGTCAAAGTATAGTTCGAGGAACCCTCTATAATGTCGGGCCGCTTATATGTCAGATGACGTCCTTGTTGACACATCCAGCAAAGTTTTTTGCATGCGAGTGCCAATAGCTCCTACTTGACACTCCCGGGAATGCCAATAGACTGACCTGACATATATTATGTTTCCCTGTCACTTGGTTCAAAGATAAAGACTATGCTTTTAAAAACGGAAAGCAGTATGAAAATAAAATTTAGTTTTCAGTGACTAAATGTATAATTGTGTGTAATGAATGCATAACCAGGTTCATTCACACCTGATCATGAGTAAAAGTCTAATACCTTAATCTTTTACGCAAAGAATTAAAGCCAGTCCTGATCGGTTTCGGTTACAGCGGTTCATGCCTACTATGGATGACACACATCACTAAGTTTCACAAAACTATAATGTCGCCCGAAGGCGTACAGTTTTCTCAGCGAGACGATACCTTTGCACCAGCAAAAGGACCTTATAAAATGGTATTCTTGTCTAAAATGATGCCCGATAAGATCATCGAGTACTCAAAATCACTGGCATCAAACCGTTTCTATCGATAAGTAGAAAATACTCATCGTGTCTTCTTACCAAATCCTGGTTTTCCTGTTACCACTGTAATACTAGGTTTGGCAATATTCGCATGTGCATAAGTGGACATTATCTGAGAATGCAGAGTTTCTGTTTGTGAGAATTGTACAATGAACCATGGTTTCATTCCCTTTCGAGCAATTAAATGTCGAGAAAAATAATAAAACTTTTGCATGTGGTTCCATTGTTTTTGATAATTCGTTTTGTTTTGTTAATAACATTTCTCGTAAGCGATGCCTGTTATCTATATCAAGTGCAATAAATATTTTATTAATGAATATACGAATTGTTTTGAAAAATAATACAATATCTTCTTCTGATGCCGTGGAGCCCGAAAGAAGTTGAAAAGTAAATGGAAGTTTGTTATTGAATACGTTTAATATTGTGCTTATCATTTCTTCGTCTATATTTTGATCAAATGAAGATGAACACATATGCGTATTCAGTTTGATCAATTATTGTTCTTTTGTAACTGAGGATACATTTATGATGTTACTGTATTGTAGTGATCTGGTTTTTGTTTGTTATAAGATAAAGCTCTGGCTAAGAAAATGCATAGATTAGTTAAACATGTTTTGGTACTTGTATCAGTCTGATTTTGTTGAATTAAGTTGCTAATATTGTGACGGGTAATACTTCCTGATAAATTGACTGTTTCATAATTTCGAACTGATTGCAAATAATGAATTAAGCATTCAGAGATCAGTTTATTTTCTTGTTAAATTAGTTGAGCCTCATTTTGATTCCAAGAATGATTTATGTAAAGTTTCGATAAGAATCGTCCTCGTGTTACATTTGGTATTAATAATATTAGCATAATCATAATTTGGCGATTTGAATAAAAGTTTAACAGAATATGAGACATTCGGTATTCATCAAGAAGATGAATCCAATCATTTACTACATAGTCTAATGAAATACAATAGGATTCCAACTTTTTTGTACAATTTTCAATGTACATTTTCAATTCTTCTTGTTTTTGATTTGAATACTCAGTAGAATCATCATCTGTACAGGGTGTTGCATAACCTTTTTCCAGGGCGGTTACGATGTGATTTTAAAAAACAACTGACAAATTCTTCAGTCGTTTTGCTTGAACATCTTCAAAATGAAAAAGAACTTTTCGAAAGTCTATTGAAATCGTATTCTCAGCGATTAAAAGCTGTACGTGAAGCCAACAAGATATTGATGTATCATTTCTATTCAAATCAAATAGAAGGTTCGCTTGATATATCATTTGTAACTGAATCACATTTACTTGATACTTTATTTTCTTCGCAAGAATGTAACCACAATCTTGTACATTTATAACTTGGATTGACTAGCTGCATCTATTGAATTGTTAACTGTAGTCCTAGATCCAGTTTTTTATGGGCTTTCATTTGGTATAAAATTCATTAGGTACCTACTTTAAAATCACGTCGTTACTCCCCTGAAAAAAGGTTATGCAACACCCTGTATATTGTTGTCTTTCATCCATATAAATAACTTTTAAACTATCCAAAATCGTTGATAATTTGCCAGATTCATTATTAATATTGTATTTTTTTATTATGGCGTGATAGTGTGGGTGTCCTAACATTTATTATTTAATCAAACATTTATCCAAGCAACGTCTGTATCTTTTCTCTTCTCTTTTCCTCCTTTGTGTTTTATTTCGTCTATCGTACTTCTCTTAGTACACAAATAAGTCAAACATAAAAAAAAACAATTTTCAAAAAATTGGGTAAGTCTTTCCCTTTTCTTTTTAAACTTTTCCGCTTTAATTTCTGCTCATTCGATCTAGCATTATTTGTCAATCACCCTCACCCTCAACAGAAAAAGTACCATGAAGGTTTCTAAAGCCATTTTTACCTTCTTGTAATATAGTTAAACATTTTCGTCCATCATGCACAACATAACCAACTCCGACAAGATCAGGTACTGTTTTCATTTTTTATTTTAAAATAGTCGCATATGTTCTTTCTGCAGGGAAGAATACCATACAGTATTGACCAGCTTCTCTCTTCTTTTGAGAATCAAATGGTTTTCTTGCTTGTCCACGATTTTCACGTACTGGGTATGCTTTTTGTTGAGTTATAGCCATACTAAGCTATCAAAAAATCGAGGTACACATATAGAGCGACTTCAGCTTTTGTCCTGTTATTTGTTTTATTTGTGTTCATTTTCTTGTTTAGTTACAAGAAAAAAATTCCTGTCGTATTACACATGAAATTACAAATAGCCGATGTATTACTGACAAAAATAATATCATTGGTAAGTACAACCAATACACTGGCAGAACGTAATCAACATCTTCAAAATGTCTTGACCTTCTTGAGACAACGAGCTAAAGATACTGAAGTAAGTTTCCGATTTGTTAATGATCCACGAAACAGTAAAATAAATTTTTTATTTTTAGACAAACCACAAATTTCTCTTAACAAAAAAGAACGAAATTGAAGTTTCCGGTCGGTTAAATGCTCACATGCACGAACGCTTTTTACGTGATATTCCATTATATGCTTTTATGAATGATAATCATAAAACTGTTTTCATTAAAAAATTATGTGGTGCCTTTTTTGATATCATGAAGTTATATAATATTACTGATATATATCATCAGCATGTAAACAATCAATTGATTGGCGCGAAAGATATAAGAATTTATTCGGAGGCAATGCTGTCAGCATCTTCTGAATATATATATATATTCATGTGTTGGGCACAATCATGCGTTAGAATTGCATCAAGAATATAATAACCTTGGTTTATGTAGATTACAAGGTAATAAAAAATTTAATCACGTTACAACAAAAGATCTTTTATGTCAACTGACAAGAGAAGTTTTAATGTTCAGTTATTACAAAAGCCTGTTCGTTTAAGACTACTTGACATAGCATTAAAACCACAAGGTGCTCTGTCATTACATAAATTGTTTTCTAACTGGATGATTAAAGACACGATTTCCACAGCCGAATCCTCGTACTGATAATAATAAACGCATTTATGTGAGACTATAGTAGGCAAATTTTTCTGTAGTTATTGTTTCTCGTCCCGTTGTTTGATTTTGTTAATTCGTTGCTATTACTTTTTAACTTTTACGCATTTTCTGTAAATATTTTTTCGATGGAATTTTTCATTTTTTTCAACTTGAGTAGTGACTTTTATAGGTGTTCTGTTTTGATAACAAATGTGTTATTGTTGCACAGCATTTATATAAGATCATACTGTTTCTCTTTGCTCTGTTTTTTCCTTGACACCACTCGCATAAACGAAACATTGAAAGAAATGAATCAAAATATCATCAAATAATAAATAGCTGAATAAGAATAATTTCCACTTGAAAACGGATTTTTCCCCATTTCTTGACAATAAGACTTTTTGCCCAAAAGCGGATACCAGATTTTGACTCTGCATGAAGAGACAAATCAAAATACCTACTGTTTCTTTCCAAAGCACCTCGTTGAGAACTGACCAGATTTACTATGAATTCGGATTTGCCCATCCTTGCGAAAGTTTGAAGTTCACTCCGCACTGTTTTGAGACGATGATTTGTCTCGAGTTTTGAGCGGCGACACGTTCCACGTGAAAAAATGAAATTGAATTTTACATGTAAAAGATCGTTCTTCTTTTTATTATTTCATTTATTATAGTAAGGTGGGTTCCATAACATGTGCTCAAAAGCAGCAACTATATGCAGAATTTTGTGCTCGATTTAATTGTCAATTTTATTGAGTGGGCGATCATACTAAAGAGCTACGGCCATTTTACGTTAAAGCTGAAAAAAAGAAAAATTCGTTTTTCGGCTCTATGACATTGTTAACGCTTGACCTACCATAGCGATTCCAGCAGAGCCACTGGTAAAATCATCACACGATAGAGTATTGGTCTCCCCAATATGTCAATAGTATAAGCAGATCGACCAGACGGACTGTCCTTTGTGCAGGAGATTTTTGTCTCTCCAGTTACAGTTGAAAGGAGGGAGTAGAACGACTTGAAAAAATCCGACTTTTTTCCTTTTTATGACAGTGTTGATTTTGCCACAAATGGCATCTGTTTTTTTATTTAACTAATATGCACAAAGGAGCGCTGAATAACATAAAAAAATATTTTCTGAAGAACACATGTATTTTTGACACACAGTTAGATAAAAGCATCTCACTTTATTTAAGTATTTAATACCATCGATGAAAAAATTTTATCGATAGTAAATATTGTTTCAACTTCTAATGTGATAAGATTGTAAATAATATATGTATGATCTACGTCATTCCCAGCCTCCTCCTCCAATGGTCACTCGAGTGTCCATTTTATGTCTTACTATCTCCTATCCGCCGATCTCTTGTGAAACTTTCAAAACGCACTTAATTCACTAGTAGACATTTCCGTCGATATGTATCAGACAGCACGTCCTCAAGATGTTTACTGCCTGTAGGTATAAAAAGAACTTTTAAAAAAATTTTGAATTTTTTCAAATTTATCGAATTTGTAAATCATATATTCCAGAGACAGAGCAATGAAACAAAATACTCTTTTTACCAATCTATAGCTGATGGAATTATCCTGCTTTAAACAGCAATCCATTTTTATTACATGCTTCGTTATCTTTTTATAACGATAACTGTGTTTGAGGGCAACAACTTTCTAATCAAGAATTTGACTATGACTGCAGCGGTTTTAAATTTCATTTTATAACGTGATGGAATTTAACCTTTATTTGTTAATATTTCGGTCATTTTCAAAACATAACAAAATTAACTGTACAAGAATTACACACTACGACTTCTTTTTCTTTTCCTGGCGCAATAACACAGAACGAAAAAGGAAAAAGTTCCAGGCCATAACTTTTATACGCGCATATATAAAAAATACATGACATCATTGGCAATACATTGATTGCGAAGTATTCTATTTTTTGATGTGCGACAACAAATAAAGATTAAATTTTATAATCATCATCAGCTACAGTTTACAATAAAAAACACAACTACATATTCATATTGTCGGATGTTTTTTAGTGTACAATCGCCATACTTCAGCATGGTTGATTACCTACAATCCCTTTTAGAGATTTCCACTAGATAGCTTTTCTTGTGTTTATTTTCAATCACTTACTAGTCATGGCGACCAATAGTCGTCTACATTTGATTCTCAATTGCATTTTGCTAAATGTTTTTATATTATCTTGATCAAAGTTTCTATGTTTTCTTACTTTTCATGTTAAAAACAACAACAGTTTTAATAAGAAAAACAGAAGAAAAATTTTTCTATCACAACAGAATTAAAGATCATTTGTAGTATCATCGTATATATATATACGCAGAAAATACGCCTCTTTTACAAAGCTTAAATTTTATAAAAAAAATTGTTTCCAAAACAAAAATATATGAGAGCTGATTAAAGTGTAAGTAAAATATAAAATAGTCAATTGAGAATCGACTTTTGAGACAAAATAGTGCATGTGTAGTTTAGAATCATATTACGTCGAAGATTAAGAATTATATGCTACTATAAGTTTGCGAATGGGAATAAGATTACAGTTTTTCACACAATCAACAATTTATACGGAAGCAATAATAACTGAATAATAAAAAAGAAATTGACAACATACTCTTTAGGTTTGAGCCACAAATGACAGTTAGGAAAGAGAATGAAAAAAATAGATAGGGAGTTCGGAATGAAAATTAGCATGATCTTTATAGATTGAGTTTCAACCTCGCGTTTGTGGAATAACTATTTGTAACTAGAAAATGTCCGACCTTCAGTATTGGCTATAGATTTAATGGTGCGCCTAAAAACCAAACACATATATTAGAAATGTTGTTTTATTTATATTCTTATAACGTCGTAAGTAAAGGTGTACGGCGCAACGCCGAAATCAAGGAATACACGGCGCCGCTGCCAAAGGTGGAAATTTTTTATTTTTCACACCGCTGCGGAAAAATGTTGATGAAACAATAGTTTGTTTTAGATCTTTATCGTTATTTTTCCGTTCTCAAACAACATAGCGACACGCTTTTAGAATTCAGCGGTAACTGCCACAACTGATATCACATGTGATCGTTCTCTAAATCTGCATTGGTAACTTTTGGCGCAGGTATGATACCACTACTAGCATGATACAATGATGCGTCGTTATTTTCGGTGTATTCAAACAAATATCGTCACCAAATAAGAAGAAAAACTATAGCTTAGAGACCTGCACGGGTTAAGAAAACATAACCCGAACCTGATCCAACGCGACAACGTCTTAGCCAGAACCCCACCCGACCCAACAACAACTTAACCCGAACCCGACCCGACTTGATAAATTTTTACTCCTTTGTTGCGTTCTTAAGTTTATGCCTTTTTATCTACCTATTTGTTTAGCGGAGGGCATCGCATTACAGGCCAGTGACCTTTTGCTAATAGTCTGTTAATATTGCAGAAAATTTGAGCTTTATATCTTTCTAAATTTGCTTGTTATTGAACTTTTCTTCTTGAATGAGGATAGTGTTTCCCTAAAACAAGAGAACATCCTAAAAAGGCCAGGACAACTCTATCGTTTTTCCTTTGAGATAATTAATCGTCACGTGATATCCTTCATAATGAACATAAACTTTAGTGCTTGCTACGATGAAAGCTAAAGCAGAAGATTTGATAGGTGAATGAACCAGCTGATATGATAATATGAGTAATATCCCGTAAAAGCATATTATCTCTCCGAAAAAAGTCGACTCTCCAATCGTCCCGCAAGGCAGTTGGTTCTCTAGTTCCCCTTTGTCTCACAAGCGGAAAAGCACGCATGTGATAAAGCTAATTATCTTCTTTGTTTTCTTCCCGTACCAGAATGTTTTCAGTAGGAAAAAATGCATGCAATATCACCTCTAATTAAAAAAGAAATGTTATCATTGAAAATTGTGCGATTTGGAAAAACATTGTTTTCCTTCAAGAAGAAAAGTTCAATAACTGGCGAATTTAGAAAGACATAACGCTCAAATTTTCTGTAATATTAGCGGACTATTAGCAAAAGTACAAAAGAAAAATTTCAGCTCTTAATTCTTTGTTCTGACTGGGTAACAGAATTATTACTGTTACCGCATACAATATTCCTTTAGAACAAAAAAATTTATAACTTTTGAAAGAACTAATATGGGTCCTCCTTATAGGGTTTTTTATCAGCTTACTTTCCGCTATTAACTAACATAATACCATTAAAAACGGAGTTGGGCATCTGAAGACCTTCCCTCATTAGTGAATCAGTTGTTCTAAAATAAGTATTTCAACTGGAATTCCAGTAGGAATAACTTTCAATGAGTAATGCAAAACTGAAATTATTAGGAATTATTAGAATCAACACACACCGGTAGATATGCTCGCTTTACTGTTACAAGGTTAACAACACTCGGCATTAACATCAACTGTCCGTCACTTCTCAGTCCTGATCTTTTTTCTGCGATAAAATCTCTTAATTTGCTGTTAAAGCAAAGTTTCCAGATATTATAGAACTGCAATAGTCGATGAATGCAATATAGATCATTAACACTATTCCATCCCAGGAGTGTTAGGATGTTTTCCCTCTTCGTTCCCTTGATTGCACCAGCAACAACTATTGATATTTTTGCAACGTTCTTCCTTGAAGACATCTTAATCTTGTTTCTTGCGTTGATTTATAACTTAATAAACTCACACTCTGTCTATATCTGGAAAATAAACTACAATATTGATGTTATCCAGTCTATTTATCGTTTAAATAAATCAGCAGAAAATGAAATGTCGATACTGTGGGGAATATTTTATTCAGATTACGGTAATGCGAAAAATAATTTGATAGAAGGCTTATAGTCTATTTATGCGCAGAAGTTGAATCTTTTTTTGTTTGAGAAAGCTGCAAAATTTATTATGATTTTTGAATAGCGTAAAGATCTTTCGTTTTTTGATGTTCTTCTAATCTAACGAGTGTAAACTTCAGTCAATAGAGCGGTTGTAGTTTTCTCCTGAATATTCATCCTTCAAATGCAAACATTTTTACATTTTATAGAGGGATACAAAAGGCATTTGATCCTGATATTTCGGATTTTCAGTTGCGTCGGTTGAGTCGACATACTACATTATAAATTTTTCTGATAATACGATTGGCATTTAGGTTATTTTGTTTGAAGTTCAATGATCAGGCTAAGATTAATGATTTTTATCTATTGATTTTAGTTACTGATCAAAAACAACGATGTCATTAAGCTATTCGTCCTATTATACTTTTCTTTATCTTGTGTTTATTCTCAATCAATTACCAGTCCTGACAACCAATAATCGTCCCACATTTGATCCTCAATTGCATTTCACAAAAGACTATTCAAGATATTCAGATTTATCAACTGGTCTTCCAGCGTCTCAACAACTAATTGAACAAACATTAGATTTGAAAAAAGAAGATTTACAATCAAAATTTCGAACATTATCTAAAACTAATATTAATTTAGAATATTTAAATTTTGTTAAATTAAATTCAAAAGCTAAATTGCATCCAACAGCATGCATAGCATTAAATGTAATCGAACAGTTGCAAACAGTTGAATGTTTACAGCAACAATTGAAATTAACATTTGATACACAAGCAAATGCTCAATTAACTTATACTAAATGGTTATCACTAATAAGCAAAATTAATTATATTAATGGTGGCAAAGAATGGGGATGTATTAATGTGACAACACAACAACCAGTTGTAATTATGAAACGAATTGTACATCATACAATGGAATTAATCAAAAATCAAATAACAATCAATGTAACCAACGAAACTAATATTAGTCCATTAGTTTGTTTTTCAAATTTAACAATGAGTATGGCACTGGAGCAAATGAAACCAAAAATAATACAAACAACGACAACAACCACAAAGACTACCGAAAAATCAACGCCACTGTAAGTGTAGAACATTAACCATTACGAAAGTCTTGATCTGAATTAAGATTGTGTGAAAAACAGTCTCAATTTTCTTAGTCTTGCAAAAGTCGTATATACTCAAGTTGTTTGCACATTCTTCCCTAATAAAAATCTTAGACACTTCTTAAAATTATCTTACTAAGATCTTATCCTTTAAGATTTTGATAAGATAATCTAAGATCTTACTGTAGATCTTAATAAGATTTAATGACTCTACTTCCATTTCACCCATTTGTTTTGCTCTCATTCATCTATCTAAGTAACACCGAAAATATGAGTGATTATACGGTTAGTTTTCTTCCAGACTCTGCTAGTATCTATTCTCTCGAAAGTGTTCAACAACTTTGTAAAGAGTGTACATGCAGATCAAGGTCCATAGTTGGATACCCGAAAACATGAAATTTCTCTCTATTCTCCAACATTGTTCAACTGCTGCTTTGGATAATGCGGAATAAAAATTCAAAAATTCTAGCGAATCTCGAATGAATACTATTTAAAAAACGTCATCTTTCTTACTATTAAGATCCTAACAGATTCTTACCCTATCTTGAAAAAATGTTGGACAGTATAGTCTTACTAAGATCTTAAAAAAATCTTATCAAATCTTAGAATTTTCGGGTCTCACGATCTTAGTAAGATTCGAGTAAGTTTCTCACTAAGGTTAGTACAAAATCTGGACAGTCCTATTTTTAGAATTTTTAGATTTTCAAAAATAGAAATGAGAATCTTAATGAAATGCAATTTTTGCTAAAAGTATTGAAGATTACTCAGTTTATTTAAAAAGCAAAAATAGAATTTTGAGAAAAATTATTGGGATTCAAATAAACAGCATCGACTCACAAACAAAGCGAAGAATTTAACTACGCCCGTTTTTTTCAACAACTTTGTAGAGCACATCAAGCTGTATATACGCTGACGTGTTTTCGATGAACAGACTTGTAATTGCTGAGAAAAGAAATTTTTACGAATTTCATACGATTTTGATCGTCTATTTAAAAAATTCATAAAAAAGTCAAAATTGGAGCTGGAACTTATTGTTACGCAGTTCGACAGAGTACCTTAAGTGACATATACCCACAACTTATAATGAAAATTGAACCAACGGTGTCTGAGAAAATTAACATTTTTCATTATAGTGCAGTTAGAGTCCTTAAAGTAATTTTTTGAAACTTATGCACACATTTCAAAACCAAGGAAGCATTTTGAAGAAAAGTTTTCTCTGGCAAAGTTGTTCAGGATAATGCTCCTCATACCCTAAGCGGAGCAAATTTTTCATTTTAGTGGAAGAATTCTGAAATAAATTACAAATAAAAAATTTTTAGCTTTAAATTTACTTAAAATTGTCAATTTCTTTCAAAAGGACCTCGCCGGATAAGATCGTAAATCTGCCACCCCCCTATGTCTCACTTTCAATAGGCTAGAAAGATAGAGCATGAAATTCTGCATATTTCTGAATATTTATTTTGATTTTCGTCGAATGTAAAAAAGAATTTTCGAAGATCAAATAGTCTTGGGGGTATATCACTTTTTGGTATTCTAGATAATAACTGTGGTACCCATCATTTTTTCTTTAGTAAACATAATATGAAAACTAACAGTGTAGATCGACGCAGTTTTTCGTGCTCTACAAAATGGTATAAATATATCATTCTCAAATTGTTGTCATTAAGGGCTACCAGACTCACAAATATAAGAAAATATAGAAAGCATACTATTATATGGTTATTTTTCATAAATTTCAAGTTGATTTTCGCACTAATAACAATTTGGACAAGATGACGACTATAATAGAAAATTTTCTCGTGATTTGCTATACAAAATGGTCTAAGTTTGAGGAAAATAAAAATAGCCCCAATATAGAATATTCGATAGTTACTTTTGAACATGTCATTATTTTACTTGTATATCGATACTTTTTTTGGAACTCTTTGTCACTTTTTTCTATGAAACTATAGAGGATCTCTAATCATTCATATATCATTCGATGCGTCTTGAAAAGCTCTACAATGTCTGTTAATAAGAAACTTAACGTAGCTTGGCAGCGGGTTTTGTGTGTTAAATACTTCGCCGCTTAAACATACAGTGGGTCCAGAAATTATTCGTGCACCTTTATTTTTCATTTTGCTCGTCGACCATAATAGCTAGATCAAATTTGAAAAAAGATTTGAATAGCCAAAACAATTTCCAATCTGATGTGGTGTATACAAAGGTTCTATCGAAACTTCTGAAACGAGCGTCTCTGGAAAACCCAAATCTCAGAAAACCAAGCCACTGAGTTCAATCGAGAAATTCGTTGCAAATAACTCCATCATATAGAGCAAACATTTCTGAACAAAATGAGACGTCTTTGACCTCTGTAAGGCATTGTTTCATGAAACAGCATTCGATTTTCGGAAGGCTCTAAGGATGTATCTGAATGGTTTGGATAAAAAAGTGCTCTGCTTAGGGTATGCAGAGCATTATCCTGAACAACTTTGCCAGCGAAAATTTTTCTTCAAAATGTTTCGTTGTTTTTGAAATGCGTGCATAAGTTCGTGTACTAGGTAATGAAAAAGTCGAATTTCCATGCAAGAGCGATTTCACCTAATATAGGTTTTCACTACGTTTTGGAATTTTTTTCGAAAAACGAACATTGCCACGAGACTCAGTGTGATGGATAACCCATGTTTCCATTCATTTTAGAGATTACCACACCTACGGAAATATCTATCCTGGGGCTTCGAGAAAATCCGATGGCGCTCCTGAACCACGGAAGATTAAGAGATCGCTTAGTTCCCATTTTGTAGAGAACATTTTACGCTAACATATCTATATGAGAAATGCAGGAGGCACTCTGGCAGATCTTGGAATTACGATCTACTCTTTCGTAGACTAATAAAGTATACCACTTGCAGGTGGTGTTTTCTCAGATATTTTTATGTCAACTTGTAGCTAATTATCTTCTCTATGCAATGCTGAAAACCGCAAGTCTTCGAAGTGCACTGTTCAAAAGTTATTAAAGAAATAGTCACCGGCATTCGTTTTTAATAATATATGGACTGTTAATTAATATATGAAAAAATCTCGAAAAATGCCCACATCCATGACAAATGAAAAAACCAAATACAGGATTTTGTAGCGCTTGAGCAGCTGATTCAAATGATGTATTGTTCGTTATATTTGAGCAAAGAGGTTGAAGAAAAAAAGAATACAAATGACCAGACTACACTGAACTGGCATCGGTTTCAGAGAAAAAATTTATAAATATCAGGTAGATATTTTTTCTTTCTTTTCTACATACATAATAATTATGAATATTTGTGCATCTAAACATACTTGAATCACATTTTTGTCATTATCCCTAAATGTCTTATGAAATATCGAAAATCAGCCACTAGACGGAAAGCTTTGACCAAAGTCCAACGTTAAAAAATTTATAATTCCACCGATATTCATAGGACCGCCGAAATTTCTTGAGGATACATAGTACTCAACGCACTCTACAAACTAGCATAATCTGAGGGCAGGTTTGCAGGTGGTTACCCGCCCCCTTAAATAACTTATTATACCCAAAGATATTAGTACTATGTAAACACGAACTTCGAATATTTAGTAATCTAAATTTGTTAACCTGTAAATCAAGTCCTCTAATGATCATTGTGTTTAAACGAATAGAAACTATGATGATACGTGTGGTTGATGTTTAGATCTCCTAAAGTTACAACAAATACAACAAAGATCAGTTCGTTAGTTAGCAGCAGAAGAGTGAGCTTAAACAACAATTTAATATTCAACCGTGTAAAACGTTTTCTTTTTTCACAACTTACACCTCTTTTACCACCACCTGGACAAATTTATTTTCCTGGTCAATCTATTAGTATAGCATGGTCAATAAAAAATATCGATGCATCGAAATTTTTAACAGTCAAATTAAAACGTACTAGACTCGGATTGGACAAAGAAATAGACGAATTTACAGTAAAAGCTGGTCAAGGAAATTACCAGTATACAATACCGCCAAATCTAGAAACAGCCAGCACCGATGATTATTATTTTAAATTCGAGTGTTCAGTATGCGTAGACGACACAAGCAATAGTTTTCGTATACCAACAAAACCTACAATAATTCCCGGTTCAGAACCGGCCGAAAATGATATTTATTATCCAGGTGACCAAATTACATTTAATTGGACTAGTGCTGCTTTCGATCAATCACAAACAGTCACTGTTAGCTTTAAACGTAAGCGACTTGGAATTGATGAAATAAAAGACTCATTCACAGTTTTAGCAACGAGTAACGCTTACAACTATACAATTTCACCGGATTTAGACATTTCGTCTAACGACCAATATTATTATTTCCAGTTTGATTATTGTTCAGACTTGTCTGCATCTCTGTTCAATATAGATGATTGTAAACCTACAACAAATACGTTTTATGTTCCAACGAAGCCCTACATTCAGCCAATCCTACCGTCATTTGGTGATTATTTTTATCCCAATCAACAAATAACAATATCATGGTTTTCGGCAAATTTTGATGATAATCCACCTCTTAAAATACAGCTTAAAAGATATAGTTTCACATATGACTCAGATGAGGGTGATGAATTTACATGTGATACAAAATCAGATAGTTGTCAGTTTGTACTTCCATCAGTTAATCCGTCAATTGATGAGTATTATTTCGAATTTAACTGGTGTCGTCATTGGTATAGTATGTACTGTACAACGAAAGGTAACCGTTTTTCTATGCCGAGCCATGGTATAGGCTCGTGGAATTATAATCCAGTAACAGGTCAAGCAAACCAACCATACACTTTATTACATAAGGATTGTTCAAACATATGTTCAGACCCAACAACATTAGACGGAATATGTCGACTATGTAACGACAAGCGTCCACGTGTTGGCATCAATTTAACTTGTAGTAACTGTTATATAATTTACGATTATAGTCTTGTACAAATGGATTTAGTTCGGAAAGATGGATCATTATCGTTTGGTCATTTAGTAACAGAAATATATATGAAATCAACAATCAATTTGGATCTATCATTAAGCGCCAGTTATACATTAATAACCAAAGGGACTCTTCAAATCTTGAACCGTCTGACATTAGTTGGCTACTCATTTAGTATTGCTTCAGTCTCATTTGGGATTGATGTTGGAGTTGAAATGGAAATACCGTGGTCTGTTCAACTGGATGCTATCGGATCTTTAACAGCTGGCATCCAGTATCAACTGGATACAAATATAACATTATCTGTAGATGATCAAAATAAGCAAACAACAAATGTTCAATACAATCTAGAGAAAATATATCATCCTGTTAGGGCTAATTTTCAGGCTGATTTGATTATTGATGTTGCATTTAAACCATCATTATCAATACAAGCACTCGTGTTTGATATTGGTATAACAACTGAAGGTTACTTAACATTTGAAAATCAATTTCGTTTTCCACCATTTTCTCCGATTCCATCTAATCAGTTTAATTGGAATCAACAAAAACCGTCACTGTTTCATTTATCCTATCCTAATGATTCATGTTCATCTAAGCATTTCATTGAATATCATATTGAATTTGGTATACGTCATACGGTACTCTATTTAAGTATAGATATCCTTGATCAAATACCAGCATTTATCGAAAGATTTGTCTTATATTTCGAAACACCAAGTTTCCTTGACTTAGGTCCATATGAGTTAGTTGGTGGCTGTCTATTTAAAGCACCTCAAAATGATTTTTTCCAATCATTAGAATTATTTTTGAATAATCCACTTTCATCTGATCAGCAATCGTCGATATATTTTTCTAGATCAATTATTTATGATCTGTCACAATCATTGCAGATACCAGAATCAAGAATTTATTTTAACACTTCGTATCCCTATTACGATCAGTCGACAAATACACAGTTAACTGTTGTGTCTATATCAATATTACCATCCCCTACACAAAACATAACAGATCCAGATGTAAATAGTCTAGTGCAAAATCTGATCATGCAAGAAATGAATCAAAACTCAACATTGTATTCAGGTATTTTTACAAGCTCGTTAGTACAACAACAAACAATACAATCAGATATTAAGAACAGTTTAATGACATCATCAACAACTATTCCATCACAAATTACTCAGGTTACAACTATCAACAACATTTTAACAAATAAACTCAGTCCATACCCATACACTTCGTCAACGCCATCGATACTTCTAGTTTCTACAGTTGCGAAAAACGCCACATCTTCCTTTATTAGTAATACAGTTTCAGATCTTTTCCAAAAACTTTCATCTACAATTGTAACCACTTCGGCTCCCACAAGCATATCACTAAATTCGTCATCTGCTTTTAAAACCAGTACCTATTCTTCTTCTGCTACAGCATCAACAAACATATACAGTAACTCATCTGTTTCCGAATCTACGTTTAATCAGCTATCACAAATTTCAACATTCACTTCTCAACAACATCCTTTTGTCACCTCGAGTACAGTATCGAGAGAACAGCAGCAAATCACGACCGCTATACTGCGACTTTCCTCGCAGTCTTCTGCTTTGGTAACTTCTTCGACAAAAAATTCTGCATTTACCTCCAATGCAATTGTGTAACAACAAATGACAAATACGGCTACGCCAACGACAAGTATAAGAGACACCTCTATGGCATCAAGTCAAAGAACCTCTTCCATAAAACAAAATCTTCCACTATCAACGCTCAGTATCTTTTCACAATATCAACCATCTACAACAGTCTCATCCAAAGGTGCATCCCAATCTTCTGCTATGGCAATTTCTTCGACAAAAAATTCTGCACTTACCTCCAATGCAATTGTGCAACAACAAATGACAAATACGGCTACGTCAACGACAAGTATAAGAGACACCTCTATGGCATCAAGTCAAAGAACCTCTTCCATAAAACAAAATCTTCCACTATCAACGCTCAGTCTCTTTTCACAATACCAACCATCTACAACAGTCTCATCCAAAAGTGCATCACAATTCTATGCATCAACATCACAGTCAACAAATACAACCTTATTTGCCTCGCAGTCTTCTGCTATGGCAATTTCTTCGACAAAAGGCTCTACACTTAGCTCCACTGCAATTGTGCAACAGCAAATGACAAATACGTTTACGTCAACGACAAGTATAAGAGACATGTCTACGGCATCAAGTCAAAGAACCTCTTCCATAAAACAAAATCTTCCACTATCAACGCTCAGTCTCTTTTCACAATACCAACCATCTACAACAGTCTCATCCAAAAGTGCATCACAATTCTATGCATCAACANAAAATCTTCCACTATCAACGCTCAGTCTCTTTTCACAATACCAACCATCTACAACAGTCTCATCCAAAAGTGCATCACAATTCTATGCATCAACATCACAGTCAACAAATACAACCTTATTTGCCTCGCAGTCTTCTGCTATGGCAATTTCTTCGACAAAAGGCTCTACACTTAGCTCCACTGCAATTGTGCAACAGCAAATGACAAATACGTTTACGTCAACGACACACAGTGGGCAACTAAGCGGACATTAGGCCAAAAAGTCGATTTTATCTATCTTGAAATACAAATAGTGCAAAATGTAGCTCTTGAAATTCTCTATCGAATGGTGTATAAACGTCTATTGTGAACTGAAATGTTCAAGGAGAAAAACACCTTACAAAAAACACGAGTATTAAAGACATCTATACGAAAACCTTGATTGTTCTGCCACCGTCTTAACTAAATAAGTTTTAAAGCACATATTTGGAATCAG